TTCTTTGATCTTTCTGAGCCCGACATTCAAATGCATCTGCTGTTCCTCCAGCTCGCTCCGCTTCTCGTGGAACAGGTTGGCGTAATGGTTAATGAAGTCCAGGTAGTGGCGAGGCGTGATGGCCATCGTTCTGCCCCCGCGCTTTGCTAGCCGAGCATTAGCCTTTTAGAAAAGAGTTCAATCTTTTCACTCTTCGGACATTCTCTGTGACTTCACCTCAAAAAGCTACTGCTCTGCCAGGTGACATGGTGGCATGGACTCAGCCCCCAGGAGTCACACTTGAGCTGGGGTCTCAGCTCAGCCTCCTGTAGGATCCCAGGGAGCCCCTGAGCCTCCTAAGCTCTCTCCTTAAACATCTCTACAACACAGAGGTGACCTCGGCGACCTCACACGTGTACTCTGTGTGAATCAGCTCTACAACTGGGGGTACTGTGTGCCATGCCTCCTCTGCCTTCTGCTTATTTTCCATGGACAGCAAAGTAGGAGACGGCAGCAGGAAGAGGGTAAGAGGGCACAGCTCCGTGTGACTGGCTGCTCTGGCCCCTCCGACTAAAGGCGGGCAACGGGACACGAGACCAGCAAGGGAAGCCAGCGCCAGGCCACATTCCGGAGGAAACGGGGGCAGCCTGCAGGGGCGGCAGGGACGGCAGGGCGGTGGTCAATGGGACACCCGCAGGCCCAGAGTGATTTTCACAAAGCCTTTCAGATAGGAGCCGACTGGACTCTTCCATGACAAGGAGTCTAAAGCAAGGGCCAGCAAACCCTGGCCACCACTGATGTTTCTGCAAACGAAGAGCTAGCGGCGCCCGGCCCTACCCACCTGTTCACATGTGGGCTGCGGAGGCCGTGTACCAAGGCAGGGCCGAGTAGTGCAGAGACCCTCCTGGCCCACAAAGCCCAAGACATTAACTACCTGGCCTTTTACAGGAGAAGCATGCTGACCCCTGGTGCAGAACGGAGAACCAGGGCCCGCCCACACACTGGCAGCGAGGTGAGGAGCTTTACTGAAGCAGACACCAGAGAGCAGTGGGGGTCAGTGACCCCAGAAGGGGCAGCCTGGTAACGAGGAGGAGGACGTGTCACCGACAGAGGTGAAAATGGGCCATGGCGTCGTGTCTACGACCACGTACCCTCCGCTCTCCTCTTCGTTGGTTTACTTTTCCATGACCTGGACACCAAACCCACCTGGTGAAGAGTCTGATGAACGAACACACAGCTGTTTACGATAGCTTCACGGTGTGACGGCGGCTGTGGCAGTTTGTCATACACGACTGGCATGTAATCGGGCACGATGTAATTGGGCTTCTCCAGGTCCATTTTACTTGTGAATTCTTTGCCCACTTGATACAGTGCTTCCGTGGACCAGTCCCCAAACCAGTTCAACACGCACCTGAAAAAGACGCCCACGGCTCACACAGCTCCCAAGAGCAGGGCCTGCCCCTTGGGGAGAAGCCGGCTCCCGGGACCCGGAGCTGAGCAGACGCCGGCGCACCTGTTGAAAAGTGCCGGGGAGGTGGCCGCGCGGTCCTTGAGCCCCTCTGACGACGGGTTCATGGTGAAGACAACGTGGAGGTTGCGGATGACCTGGCTGGTGAACCATTTGTAGAGTTCCTCGTGCGAGTCCAGCATCAAGCCCTCCTTCTGGGCCCCCTCTTTACACTGGGTCATCAGGGTGGCATACTCGTCCCCTTCAAAGAGGCCAGGAACCTAGCAAATGAGAGAGCACGACTGCTGGCTGGTTCTGGTAACCCGCCGCCACGTGTATGCAAGAGCGTGCCATGCGGCGCTTACCTCCCCGTTGGCCAGAAGCGTATTCATTCGCTCCAGGAATCCAGAGTCCAACACGTTGGATTCGTCCATGATAAATGCAATCTTTTCATTCTTACAGCCAGAACGTCTCAGCACGGTCCGAAGATCTTCATCAAAGTCCTCCCCTGTGTACTTCCTGTGCACCTACAGAAGTACTCGGCAGGTTAGGTCCATTCTCATCAAGGAGCCGCGAGCACGCATCAGGAATCCACTGCTGGGATTAAGAAGTGTCGACCAGACCCACCTTAATCTGGTACACGCTCAAACCATTCATCCAGGCCACAAAACGGGACAGGGTGGTTTTTCCCGCTCCACTGACGCCAATCAGAAGCAAGTGGCCCTGAGGCTGGCGGAATATTCTGAAACATTATCAGAAAAAGATACGATTCAAGGCTTTTATGATCTGTTCCTCTTTCAACACTCAGGTCCTAAACTTTCTCAGGAGTTAATCTGCAACATTTTTAATGTGTTTTAACTTCAATCTGTAGGCTAAACAGTTGTTAAGCAATTGCTGTATGCCAGGTCTAGGGGGATGCAAAGATCAGTAGGATGTGGTCCTGTCCTCCAGAAGCTCAGATGGCAGGAGACAGACAGACCCAACTCTAATGGAGCTTTCAGTTGTGGTAGGAAGAGACAGCTAACAGGACCCGAGTAAGTGCTGAGCAGCAGGCAAGTATGGGACAGAGAAGCTGGACTGAGAAGGGCGCGGGGGGAGGGGGGGGGTCGTTTGTGGAGAAGCAGGGGTGGAGGCGAGGTGGGGGAAGGTGGGGAGGCCTGGCAGGATCCCCCACCACTACATTAACAGTAGCTTAGGCCAGTGGTGACGCTGTCACAACAAAAAGCCCACCGGTCGATCCTGAGCACGTGGTCTAACACTTCATTAAATAGGACCAGAGGGACATCAAGTTCTTCCTCATAGAAGACTTTCAGCCGAGCTTTGACGTAATCTCTCAATTCTTCCTGGTCTACAGGGATGTAATCCTGTAGAAAAAAAGGTAAGACCCAAATTACTAAGAAATCATCTTTGTTATTACGCCAGTTATATTTCCATATACTCAGGGGCGCCTGGCTGGCTCAGCTGGTAGAGCATGAGACTCTTGATCTTAGGGTTGTGAGCTCAAGCCCCATGTTGGGTGTATAGATTGTTTAAAAAATAAAATCTTAAAAAAAAAAAAAAAAGCAACAAAAGAAGGTATCATTTACAACATAACAAAAAAAATGTAAGTAACTAGGACTGGATCTAAAACCATGGAAAATTTTTGTAGAGAAAACTGAACTTCACTAAAAAGACCTTACAGAAAGACCTAAAAAAATGAAGACAAAGACCATGACCATGCAGAGGAAAGCAAACTACTGTAAAAATGTCAGTTCCATCCAAACTGACAGAGAAAGCCAATGTAATCCTGGCCTCAATCTCAAGGGTGGACAGTAGTGGTGTTTTTGGAAAACTGGACAAGCCAATTCTAATTTCATTTGGAAGAGGAAAGGGCCAAGGATGGTCAAAAAGTCCCTAAAGAAGCAGCAGGTGTGAAGGCCTACCCATCAGACTTTATCATCGCTATCAGGGCCCTGCAATCTGAGCACAGGAAGGGACAAATAATCAACAGAACAGGACAGAGCCTCTGAAACAGACCCTTGCATGCGGGGAGCCCAGGATGACAGAGAGACGCTGCCAATTAAGGGATTATCCAACCAACAGTGCTGGGTCCTATGTTGGGACAATGGACACCCCTCAGGAAAAACTGGAAATGGACCTGTAGCTCACTCTACATACACACACAATTATAAATGGATTATGGGTTAAATGACAGAACTTTAATAACATTGGTTCTTCAAAAGACACCACAGAGACAGTGACAGATGAACCACTGGAAGAAGATGGTGCCTATAAATGAGCAGGATTAGGATCTGGAGTCCAGAAAATTCTAGCAGCACCAAACAAACCTATCTTGCTATTTCTTGCTTCCGTGCAGCCCCCTTTAAGACCCAACGCCAGGGTCCGCTCCACCGAGATCTCTCCCCAGACGGAGCCGTTTCCACCTGTCTGTCTCCCCTGTTGGACTATGAGCTCCCTACAGGAAGACTTTACTCATCTCTCTGTCTGCCCTTCCTACTGAATGAAATGCATACTGAAAGTACAACTTACTAAAACATCTTACTCTTTTGGAAAAAGGACAGCTCATAGCTATTCTGGGAACGTCAACTTTGTTTAGTACAAAGTATATGAAATGTTTTCATGCAAATTATTCACAATTAGCACATTTTTATAGTGTGAGGAAAGTGAAAGCAAAGGGAAAGCCTCCTTTCACTGCAAACGCGTGGAAGCCGTGACCCCTGCTGGCTGGAGGGGCACGGCTCTTGTAGCGGCCACTTCACGGGAGTAGGAAACACAGAGCGGCAGCCAGCCCCAGCCGCACCCCGCACCCCTGGGACTGTCTGCCCCACGTTATCAGCAAATACATAGTGAGTTGTGCCTATACCCAATGCTTCACTTACAGGGTGCTTCAGGAAAAAGCTATTTTTGATTAGAAGAGAATTCTAACTAAAAGGACAAAAGGAAGTATTTCTGAAATGACGTATCTGTTACCTTTGACAACCAGTTGCTGTACAAGATGGGCCGGCTCATCGCCTTCTCTTTGTCTATGTTGGGGAAGTGCTTCAGAGCAACCATGTCGATGTTCTCGTCCGTCCAGCGCCTCTCCTCGTCCTCCACGAGTCTGTTGGAAGAAGAGTGGCATGCCTATCAGTCCAGAGGCCGTGGTGTGAAAACACCAAGTTTTGTTGGTGCTGTGGGCAACTCCAAGGGCTAGAATTAGCCTTTACCAGAAATTTCATTTTCTTTTTTTTCTAAAGATTTTACTTATTTATTTGACAGAGAGACACAGCGAGAGAGGGAACACAAGCAGGGGGAGTGGGAGAGGGAGACGCAGGCTTCCCGCGGAGGAGGGAGCCCGATGCGGGGCTTGATCCCAGGACCCTGGGATCATGCCCTGAGCCGAAGGCAGACGCTCAACAACTGAGCCATCCAGGCGCCCCCAGAAATTTTCATTTTCTACAAATGGAGAAACTTAAGAATCTGAACTCCAGACAGTTTAAACGATCCAAAATTTTGACATTAAATATAAAACCCCTCAAAACTATGGAACCACTACATTTAAAAAAATTCCTCTAGGGATGCCTGGCTGGCTCAGTTGGTAGAGTGTGCGACTCTTGATCTCGGGGTCTTAAGTGCCAGCCCCATGTTGGGTAGACAGATTACTCAAAAAACAAAAGCAGAAACAAATAGAAGTAAAAAAAAATTCCTCCTCTAAGAATGACTGATCACACTGATTTTTAAAATAGAACAGGAGGGGCGCCTGGGTGGCTCAGTCGTTAAGCGTCTGCCTTCGGCTCAGGTCATGATCCCAGAGTCCTGAGATCAAGCCCTGCATCGGGCTCCCTGCTCAGCGGGCAGTCTGCTTCTCCCTCTGCCTCTCCCACCAGCTTGTGCTCTCTCTCTCTCAAATAAATAAATAAAATCTTAAAAAAGTAAGATAAAACGACAACATGACTCTAGTTTCTTAACTTGCTTAGTATAAAGTTCCCAATATCATGGGGGCAGTAAAAGAACAAAAGAATGGGAACTGTGACAAGCACAGCGCTGGAGACACAGGGCTTATAAAGAAAACCATGAAGCAAGCAGGTGAGACCGGACCTGTCCTTGTGGATTATCGGGGGGGGGGGGAGGGGGGCGGTGAGAGGGGGGAGGGCGGGCACAGGCACCTTCTGAAAAGCTGACTCTGTGATACAATGAGCAGGCCACCAGGTGCAGGTCTAGTGAAGGCAGGGCACACGGTTACTGCAGCCCAGTCAGAATTTACAAGCAACACTGCCGTTGCTACATTTTAATGAAAACAAAATTTTGCCTCTGGTACTTTGGGAAATCTGTGAAAATTATATTATAGCTCCCTGCACCCTGAGACCCATCAACGCTTGGGGGTGGCTGTGCTCGGTGCCCAGACACAAGTCCGCTCTTGCCGCCTCCAGCAGAGCCTGGCTCAAATCTGGGCAGGCCAGCCTTGCCTACCCTAACTCGGAGGGTGGTAAGCGTCTGAGTGGGGGAGCATGGAGCTAACCACAGCCTCGGCTTTACCTGTCTTGGAAGAGACGGAGGGCTTCATGTGCCCAAATCCGAATGAGGCCTTCCACGGGCAGAGTCTCCAGAGGTCTCAGGGCCTCGAAGATCCCTCGCACCCACCTCGTCATCTCACGGGGTGAGTAGATATAGTGGGGTTGTGTGTCCTGAGTGAATCTCTCCTGCAGGTTCAGGAAAGTGGAGGTACGTGTAAATATCTTAAGACATGAAAAGTCAGTAAAAGGTCAAGTGCTGTATAACATTTTTATATTGAAAATGAACTACCTAGGCCCTGGAATATTTAAGGATGAATTAGTAATGTTGGAACAACTGGACAACTATCAGGAACAAAGTTCGATCCAAGTTGCTCATTTTTATATTAAAATTAATTATATTTAAAAGAAAGTACAAAAAATTCTTCCAAAAACACTTTAAAAAAGGTAATTCCTAAGTTCGGGGAAAGCATGATTTCAAAAGCAGAAGTGAAAAAGACACTCGATGACATCAAAAATTCTGCAGAGAAAGCTGCAGTTCTACAAAATTAAAAGCCAACTAAATACTATGAAAAACATTTGCAACATGAGATAGGCAAGTGCTCATAAAGCACTAGGAGCATGACGCTGACCCCACGGGCAGATGGGCAGCTCTCTCACGTGCCCTCGGGAAGGCTTCCCCAAGACAGGCAAGTCACAACCACGAGAACCACGTCTCTTTTTCACTAAAGCTCAATCTTTTAACAGTGTTCTTCAGTTACTAGAGGAGCAGAGAAGCCCCGAGTACCTGAGACATGGTATAGAACTCCACCATCGCGGCCGTGAGCGGCTCCGCGTACGTGCGCAGGGACGGGATGAGCCTCAGCATGGCCCGGTTGAAGGTGCCATAGATCTGCGTCAGGGAGGCGGGTCCCGGGTAATCCACATACACAACAGGCACGTGACGCAAGAATCTGTGTGAGGACAGGCAGCTCAGCCACTCCAGGGAAGGAGAGGTGCGCCTGAGTGGTCAGCGGCCCCGTCCCGGGCCCACCCCCGGGGCTGCTTCCCAGTCTATCCGTGCAGGCTCCGTGTCACAGTCAACACAGAGATCCCACACACCCCGCTCAGGCCTGGCTCTGACATGTAACAGCAGATTTGAAAAAGAGCCAAGCAAAGATGGGAAATGGGAAAATGATTCAGGCTTATTCTACCCCATCTTGGCCCTGGGCAGCGGTTAGCTCATTACTACTCAAGAGTCCGTGCTTTTATTTTCAAGTGTGTTTTCCTGGGATTGCAGCACAGCGAAAGGAGCCCAGGGGCCACCCTATGGTAAGCAGTATTATGTTACCTTTTTATAATTACGATCAGATTTTCGTTGTGCTACATCTAAAACAATCCTGGAACAGGTGCGTGTGAGGCCTGCGCAGTCTACAAAGCTGTTACCTGTGAGAGAGGGGCTTTCTTCCAGGATCAGTGGGTGGATTACAAGCCCCGACAAACTGGATTCTCTCCAGCTTCACCCATGTTTGATCTGAGGTTCGGTAAAAGCCTCCGTGCTCCACCATCTGAGGGAAAGTGGGAGCGTTAGCACATCAGGAGCAAATGTGAACAAGGGCAGTGGGGACTTGTGGATATACACAAACCTGTCTGATGAAGGATATCACCCTCTGTGTCCCATATTTATCCATGTCTGGCAAGTTGATCTCATCACAGAACAGTACCAGCCACTTTCCAAGTTGAACAGGAGCCAAAACGACCCCGTTCGGTGTGCGTCTGTACTCACAGTAGTGGTCAAAAGTCTTCAGCAGAAGCTCTGGGGTAGTAGCACTCGAGAAGTTAAGACCCACAACCTTTGGACGGGAGAAGCAAATGAAGGACTGTAAGGCCCATCCTGTATTCGAGCACCGAAAGGCCTGCAGCCCACATCCCAGCCTCTTTACCTCCATGTCAGGCAAGGCCCGGAGGGCGCTGAAGAGTGTCATGGTCTTGCCAGACCCCGGGGGGCCGCACAAGACCAGTGGCTTGTGCTCAGCCAGCCAGGTGTACAAGAGGGCTTCGTGGCGGACAGTGTCCAGAGTCGGCACGACCACGTCGGGGGCCGCCACCTTGTGTGTCTCCACTTCAATCTGAGGCACCTTGGCCTGCCACGGCGACCACTCTCCGCTGATGGACACCTACACCCAGAGAAGGGGCGCAGCTCACTCGGGGACCCCCACACCTCCTCGCTTAGAGACTTGCTTGCTTTCACACAAATCACAACCTGCACGTTCACATCTGCTTTCCTTCTATACCACACAAAACAGAGGTCAGAGTCCTTTTATGAACCGGAGAGAGTAACCAAGCTCACGGTGAGGTGGCTCCACTGGACCAACGTGGCGAGAGCAAGGGGAAGAAGGCCACGCCCTCCCCGCACTTACTTCGTAATCGATGATGGGTATGTTGGGTGCCGCGGGCAGTGGCACTGTCGTGATTCTGCGGATGTATTCACCCAGCTCTGCTCTCATTTTCAGCCGACTGTCTCCAGACAAGGACCAGAGTATGGCATAAACCAGATACCGCTATTGAGTGAGTAAACAAAATAAAATTTCAACAATAAAGACATGCATAGCCATGTTCACCTTGAAGAGAGTGGCTCCCTTCCAAGAGAACACACCCAAGCGGGCATACAGTTTCGGGAGGCTCACGACAGAGGTCATGCATGCACGGCCCTGGTGGAGCCCTGCTCTCCTGTGACGCGTGCAGCCCCTGACCTGAATGTAGCGCTCCAGCTGCTCGATCTGCATGGGGAAGTCGGGATGGTTGGCGTTGTACTGGGCCACGTTCCGGCAGGCCTGGTGCAGCATGGAGAAGAGCGAGCCCAGGCAGCGGAGGCGGGTCAGGTCCATGATGTGCTCCAGCTTGAAGGCATGCTCCAGGGCCTTGGTGACCAGGCCGTTGGAGGTGAAATATGGCTGCATGATTGTGGCTGCATCCCTTTGGATCTGCAAGAGGCAGTAAATGATACTTAACTATCATTTCAGAAAGCCCAGAGACTTTCATGTATTCTCGCTTAAGCCTAGGAGAGGATCATGTGACCCGCAAAAAAAATGTTTTTTGGATAAGCTTCAGTGACCAATCCTTATTCCTTTATCTTGGTAGTTCTCAAAAATCACATTTTCTGGGAACACTGGCTTTCACTACTGAAATGGAAAAAGGCAGTGTTTCATCAATTCGCAGAGAAAAGTCGGATAACTGAAAGAATTCTTTAAATTTTCCCAAACATGTCTTCATGCTTCACAAGCAGCTGAGACTGCTTCCTTAGGAGCTGGTTTAAGACAGCACTGATTATGCAAACCTCCCTCGAGTGCCCTGCTTCAACAGTGACCACCCGGGAAAGAGTACCACGGCTCCCTTGGCTTCCAGACCCTCGGGGGCAGAATGCCCGATCTCACTGCATGTGAAGTCCCAGCCCTCCCGGAGGCAGATCTGTGGCCGTACTGGGCAGAGTGCTGACGGCCCTTGTACCTGCAGCATTGGGGAAGCGGCCTCCTCCCCCTCGTCCTCTTTGCCCTTGCGCCGGCGCTGGGCCTCGTCCTCCCCTTCGTCCAGGGGGATGCTGCGCAGCCTGGCCAGGAAGTTGTTGAAGATCATGTCTGTGCTGAGCACGTCCTCACTAAACCAGACCATGCCGCAGCGCGACACCGTGGCCAGCGTGGCGTATTTCAAGTCCTGCACTTCAAACATTATTCGCACCTTGAAAGAAAACACAGCATATTTAATGGCGCGGATTTGGTAGAAACTCAAATGTTAAAATAATTTTACCTACATACACAATGAAAGGTCAATTAGAATTTTCTGCACTTAATTTAAAAGTGAAAACATCTATGACTGTCTTCACTATAACATCCACCAGCTGCTCCTCCACAAGAATCTGGGTAGGAGGGGCGCCTGGGGGGCTTGGTCAGTTGAGCGTCTGACTCTTGGTCTTGGCTCAGGTCATGATCTCAGGGTCGTGAGATCAAGCCCCACATCTGGCTCCACGCTCAGTCGGGAGTCTGCTTCAGATCGACTCTCCCTCTGCCCTCCGCTTGCACATGTGAGTTCATGTACGCTCTCTAAAATAAATCCTTTTTTTTTTTTTTAAAGATTTTATTTATTTATCTGACAGAGAGACACAGCGAGGGAGGGAACACAAGCACGCGGAGTAGGAGAGGGAGCAGCAGACTCCCCGTGGAGCAGGGAGCCCGATGAGGGGCTCCATCCTAGGACCCTGGGATCATGACCTGAGCCGAAGGCAGACACCTAACCACTGAGCCACCCAGGTGCCCCTACAATAAATAAATCTTAAAAAAAAAAAAAAGAATCTGGGTAGGAAACGCGTGTGCTGGGAGAAGAGCAGGTGAGCCCTCAAGATAAGCTCTCAGTGGAGAGAAGAAACAGCTGCCTCAGAGGGGGCATCGGCAGCAGACGTGCACCAGCCTTACCCCAAGCTGGGTGTGGCTGCCATACTCCCCGCCTGAACCCACGAACCCTCACACGCATCCCCTGAGGCAGGCATGTGACTCTGTTTCACAGATGGGGCTGGGTACCTCACTCGGGTCCTGCTGCTGGTAAATGGGGCTGAGATTCAAACCAGATGGTCTGATTCCTGAGCCTTAACCTCAGGGCTAGCCTGCCTCCCGGGAGAGCAATCTCTTTCCAACGATGGTTAGGATCTACTGGATAACAAGCCATAACAGAAAGACCCGACAAGTCAAACAAGACACAAGTCCAAGTGCACATTTCCTGAGCGGCACTAGGCACCCCTGGCTTGGTTTCTGACGTGATGACAGCCACCACTGCTGGCCCAAAGGTTCACATTCACCAGCTGCTCACACAAAATGATTCGTCCTTTGTCTCATGCCCACCTCTGGCCCCTCGGCGACTCCCACCAGCACAAACTTTAAATTACACCGAAACTCAGCAGCCCCCGTGTTGCCAACTCCTCTGGCGCACACCCCTGGCCGTGCCTGGGCTACCGCTCAGCTCCCACTCTGCCCCCTGCGATTACTTCCTTAGTAATCGCACCCAACAGCCAGAGGGATCTGATCCAGACCCTCCCATGGCTCCCAACTCACCCAGTGGGCGGGTGCCAGTCCTCACAGTGACCCCAGCCCAACCTGACTGGCCCCCTTCCTCCCTGGTCTCACCCACCTTTTCCCCCCTTGCTCCTCGCACCTCTGACCAAGCCCCCTCTTCTCTACCCCTTCACCTGGAACTGGAACGCCTGGAGGCCCACAGACTGGCTCCCTCACCTGCCTCGATCTCTACAAACACTTCTCGGTGATGCCTCCACGTCGCCCTCCCTGATGGTGCGTCCTCCAGATCTTGCCAACGCCCACCACTCACTTCCAGCTCATCTTTTCCTTACCACTTAACACTGTTTCCCTTGTTTTTCTGTCCTCCGTATCAGACTGTGCGCCCCAGGACAGCAGGGGTTTGGTCTGGTTTTTTCCTGCTGGACCTTCAGTAGAATGCAAATCCTTGCCAGGCCCACCCATGTTTCCTTACCTATCTGGTGGTGTGTCCAGGACCTTCACCAAATGCTCATTTCTAAGGGACACAGTCTTGAAAGCTTCCATATCTAAATTACTAATTTTGCCGCTTCCCAGATACATGATAACTTCAGAAATCCTAACAACAACCCCATAATGTTCAGTTAAAAGTGTTAATCAGGAATTTTGGAGTATGCTTAACATTCAGCAAACAGCAGAAAGTTATTAGTCCTATGGAAATATTTCTCACTTGCCACAGCAATAGAAAAATCTAGTACAAGTAGATTCCATCAACTCTGAAAACTATTTACATGGCTGACTGCTACTACAGAACCTGGAGCCTCACCTCCAGAGTGGCACTCTGCTAGCACACAGGATATCTGCTTTGACACCCCAAAGAAGGCCACTTACATTGGGCGGAAGGCTGAGGCGCTCGCCATTTGGCAGAGTCAGAAGCTTGTTGTCGTCCAGCACCGAGTTCAAGTTCTCCACCCACTCGGGGTCCACGTCACCATCGAACACAATCCACTGGCGCTTCTGTAGCTCACCCCTCACGTTGTCTATGATCCTGGTTTGGACAGGTTTTGAAACATCTATTGACCAACTTGAGATTCTGAGATTAGAAATGCTCACCCTACACAGTTTCTGCAGGGACATTTACATCATTTAGTTTTGGCTAAAAAAGTAACACACACCGTTAATATAAGGACAGAGCACCCAGGTCCCACTTGCTGGAATCAAGGTGAACTCACTTTCTGAGGACGTGTGTGAACAGCCCATCCGTCCATTCCCTGGTGTTGGGGTCCAGGGTTCCATAAAGGTGGTCTTTGCTGATGGCCTTGGGGTCAATGATGTGGGCCACGCCCTCTACACCCTCAAGCCTCTCCAAAGCCTTTAGGAGCACGCGCCAAGCCATGCTCTTCCCGCTTCCCGAGGGCCCCACCATCATCAGGCCATGGTTGATCTGGGTGATCTGATAGAGCTGGAGGACCTGCCGGGCCAAAGAGACCACATCATAACCGGTTCAGAGAA